CAGTTTATGTCTGCAGGGGCCTGCAGAGATGTTTTCTATCTGTTTCCTTACCCTGGACCTGTACAGACGTGCAAAGTACAGACTGGATAACGGCAGTGTAAAAAAAATAACCAGCAGCTCCTGCAGATGAACTTGCTGAGCTGCCACAGGAAGTAGGAAGGTTGAATATTATTTTTGTTTGTGGCTTATTGGCCAATATATGATCGCTGAATAGTCTTGTTAAGCAGACTGGACAACAGCGACGCCTTGTGGCAAAGACCCAGAAGGTTCATTCAGTCAATCTGAAAGTAGCTTTTTTTAGTGGGAGAAACTTTTCGTAACTCATTAAAGTGACTTCCTCAGCCTCACCTGGATGATGAACCATGCACCAAGACTTGTGGCAAAGAGTTTAATTACGGTAACATGAGCAGCTGCCTGCCATTCATCTCTAGCTTTATTGTCAGGAATCTAAGACCACGATACAATTAAAAGAAAATAGGAATTACGTTTTTTTTTTTTTTTTAGGTTTTTAAAGTAGAGCCTCATCTGGAAGGTCCCATCATTGTTGGGGAGGATCTCTCCATTATCCACGCTTTCATGAAGCTCCTCTCCATCTTTCCTCCAGAACACCTTGGCTCTTTAAGGATAGAAACCTGCAGCATGGCAGCTGACTGGAGAGGAGGAAGTCTTCTGGAGGAGAGACACTGAGGGAAGAACAACAGAGAGAAAGGAAAAAAGCGACAAATGTTAGATTCTGAATTGTACTCTATCTTAGAAAAAGGAAGCCATATGAATTTCCCCGCTTACTACATCAGATTATGTGATTATACCTGCTGTCTCCAGAAAGCTCCTCCCATAGTGGAAATGCTTCTTTAAAAACCTAGGGCATAAATGGCTTGAAGAGCTTTTATTATGTTCAAATCGGGCATGTTCCATATTCCATCTTAGTTTGGTGATGACAGCCTGTGGTTTTGGAGTGATCTGCAGTGATCTGCAGGTCAAACACTATAAAGTCTTCTTCATCATAACCATACTGATTGTATCCATCAATTAGTCTCATCACTCCATTTACAACCACTCATCCTTTGCAAAATATGAACCTCTGAAAAAAAAATAAAGCCACAAAAACTGCAATAAACCAGTAAGATGTCAGCAGAGGCCATAGCTAACATCATATCTGCAGACACAAAAATAGAGGCTCTACACCCACTGCACTGTTACAGGAACAAAACCAAACTACCAATTTGCGGGTGGAGTGAAAGGCTGATATTTTAAAGAACTTTTACTCTCTGGATTCTTTTGATTTATTTTAGCAGCGTGGTGGGTTGACCATGACATTTCAGGGCTGCATACATGTCCTGCTAACACCGGGGATAGCCTTTAACAATAAAAAAGAGAATTAAATGAAGCTTATGCCAAATTTTAGTAAGTATGTGAGTACATACAATCTCTATGATAAATTGTAAATGGACTGATTCTTATATAGCGCTTTTGTTTTCTCCCGGAGCAGTCAAAACGCTTAAGTCGTCTGCCTGCTTTCCCAGGTGTTTAACTCCTTCTCTATTCTTTACATCTTTTCCACTTTACCACACTGTAAAACTCAATGCCAACATCAGCATTGTAGTAAAATCATTTTTATGCCCATCTTCTTCAAGCCAATCAGTCTCCACTCAGCATAGTTTAAATCACACTACTTACCTTTGATCCTCCCTTGCATTCACTTGCATACACCAAGAAAACAAAGGAAGTGATCATGGACTTCCGCAAAACAAGAACTGATCCCCCTCTCCTATCCATAAAAGGTGACTATGTGGAGAGGGTGTCCTCCTTTAAGTTCCTCGGCACCCACATATCCGAGGACCTAT